TGTTATTTTCTTATATCAAACTACACATTGAAGGGAATGTTGTTTCAGACTGCCCCTTTCACCTCCTTGGCATGGAAAAGAAGAATGTTCTCATCACCCAGGGAATAGAGAGATTTCTACCAAAAGCCTGAGTTGGTTCCCAGGAAGGCTCACCCGCTCCTGTGAGTGGGCTTTCTGATCTTCAGGATGTGTGTCTGAAAACCATGTAAATTCAGCTCAGAACAGAAAAGAACACAAACAGCCACACAACACCTCAAGGAGAAAGCTCAGATTCTGTCAACAGAAGCCAAGCCCTGAACCAAGCCCTACCGATCTCGGTGCTGGATCCATTAAACTACTTGTAACCAGACCCCAGCCCCAGCTCTGCTGCTGTGGGGTGTGTTGCATTGCATAGGACTCACTTTGTGATCAGAAACCATTCTGTTTTCAGATCCTGAAGACAAGTCCCTACTAGCTCAGTTCTAGAAGTCCGGCAGAAAATAGGGTCATATAAGCTAATGCTGTGCAGTAACAAGCAAAATTATGTTACCTCCAGATCGTTAAGTTTAAAAATTACCATCATTTCCAAAATTAACTAGCGATTTGGGACGCTTCAAACTTCGGGTGCATAACTGGAGAGAACTGACTGCTGTAGACGTGTTAAATGCCCACACCACTGAAGATCAGCTTCCTTTAAGTCATCTGGTGCTACACTGAAAAATCAAAAGTTCCCTCTGAAAATGAGAGGCTACTGCCTTTTTCTTTCCAGACAAAAAGCCAGTTCTTTCAAATCTGTTGCACAGCACTAAATGCACATTAAATTAATGCAAGTATGTCAGCACCCTTGTTGTAACACCACCTTAAATTGAGAAATGTTGAAAATGGCAACCTTTCACTTTAGCTGAAGAATTCCAGTCAGCTTTGACAGCTCCTAATGGAGATTTGAACTTACAGAACAGAGGAAACACTTATTTTATCTTGTCTCTTTTTCCTTATTTCTAGTTTCTATTAAAGACAAGCCTGGAGAGATGAGACCAAAACAGATGTTTAAGGGATTTGATGGCATTAGCGTGCACATCACAGGTACATATCAAACCATACTGACAGCAACCAAAGTCCTTACAGCATGAAGCATTTATGTGCCAAAGCCAGAGAGGTTGAGCATGACACAGGACACAGATCCAGTATTATCTGCTGGCTTACAGTGCTTTTGAGTCAGCAGAGGAAACTGCACTCTCTCTACAAGAGAGGCTCTGCAGCTCCAGCCAACGGCCCACAGTGCTACCAGTCTCAACTGCCATCAAGAACTGGAAAATTTTCAAGTGTCTCTGGAGAGTTCAGGTCTAGAGCAGCTTCCTCTCCTTTAAAAGCACAGGGTAGAAACAGTACCCAGATGGGGAAAATCAAGAAAAACAAAAAAAAATAGTCTGTGCAAGCTCAACAAATACAGTGCTAACAATACAATAAATGCAACAGTGCCCAGCGCAGCATCCAGTAGCTTTACAGACCAAGAAGACCTTCTGAACTCCCTGCATAGCTTTCTGGTGCTCTGCCTCCAGACCCAGCTCTTCCTTCCTCTACTCCATTCTTCCTTCCAACATCCTCTGGATCTTGCAGGCTTGCAGCCCTTGAATGAGAGAGTTTTGTGTATTGTCTCAATTTTTTGTACTTTTTCTTTAGATGGAATGAATACAGAGCACAAAAACAGAAGCGTCTGGAGATAATAGATGCCTTTTTATTTTTACCCTGACCTCTAATGAGCATCTGCCTCCTCCAACCCCCAAACCAAATGCCTCTTCCCCCCAGGACTACAGACATGCTTTAGCTTTACATCCATACTCAGACTCCAATTATTACTTACACAACAGCATGAAGTCAATGGCATCTGACTACACGTGTGAATGGGCTTTGGATGGAGCCATTTATGAACGTGGCAGTATGTATACTGCAGGAATGTGCCTGCCTTGTCAGCAAGACCCTCGTGGTTATCAGGACATTTGCCTTCTGTGTTCAATTAAAAACAAATCTTGACGATAAGCACTGGAGTATCTTGTATTCCTTACTAGGATACATGTTAGGAATGACTTGTGACTACTCGCTGGCATTTACTGTGAAGTTGTTCAGAGTTAATAGGATCTGATCTTTAGTTCTAAGAGGAAAAATGTTATTGGGGCTACGAATCTTTTCCTTAAAGCATTGTATACACAACTTCTGTCATTTTCTTCATTTCCTCCTATATTGCCATGACAGTATAACCATCTTCCCAAACTCTTCTTTGAAGTCTTTTCTAAAAAGCTTTCATGATTCTGTTCTCTTAATGTACATTCTTCTCTATCTCAAAAAATCCACAATTCTGTCAAATTATCTCTGATTTCTGTGAAATGCACTGCCTTCCAAGCCTATTGAAGTATTTGCTTTCCACCTACAGGAAAATATATTAACTAAACATTCTTTTCCCTCTCAATTTAGTATGGGGAGGGAGTTCAGATTGATGTCTCCAGGCAAGTTTCCTGACACGCCACTCTCTAAGGAGCGACAGCCTGTTTTCTGAAAAGCCCTGCACAGGTCTGTACACAGAACATAAACAAAAACTTATGAACAAAGAATCAGTTATCAGCTAACCCAAGAGAGTGTCCCTGAGGCTGTTCTTGCAGCTCCTCATCTCCAGGAATCGCATGGAGTATCCTTTCTAAAACATCATCAAGAGTAGAGTGAGCCCTGTTGAATAAAAGATTTAAAATGGATGCTGGCAAGGTTAATACTACACATTTTAAAAGAAAACAGTCATAATTATCAGGTTCCTAAAAAAGTGGCTTACTGTAAGCACTGAATCTTGTTAAAACAGTCTGGAATCATTATTCTAAATCTTCGAAATTCAAAGCCAAACATGTCTTACTGTCCTTTTTTCATACCTTTCTGTTTCCTCTGCTAGATTAAAGGAATCCTTAGTCCACAAACTATGATTTCCCTCCTCACTTCTCTCCGATTCTTTTTTTGACTCTCTGTCTTCCATTTTAATTTGATCAGGAACTATTCACATAAACAGAAAGAATTTAGTATCAAAGGCACGAAGGAAGATAATAAAGAAATTAAAATGTGTTTTTCTTTACTGCCCTTGGGAAACTTTCAGTTGTCCACTTTCAATTACTCCTTCCTCAGCCATCTGATTTTCTAGCAGTTAAGCAAATTCACATTATCTACAGTCAAAGGTAGCCAGCAGCAAGACCTAGATAAATATTTTACCGTGACACATTTTTAGATTCACAGGACTGAACATTTTGCTTCATACTAAAATGAAAAATGCATGTGCAAATCAATCTTTACATCCTAGATATGCGAGAAAAATCAAAAGAAAACCTGTGGATGTTAGCTTTGTTACTCTACTTAGCAAAATCCAACGATATTCCCCCCCCACCCCACCCCAGACTTATCTCAGTAAGTGCTGTTCCTTACAGCATGTGAATATATTCAGCCACCTTCTGCTAAGCTATGATAAGCAGGAAGCAGTAGGCTGTCCCAAAAATGGAGTCTGAAATAGCTGTACTTTATGCAAATACAACAAAACCATAGCGATTGAACAGCAAGCAATACAGGCTGCTGCATTCCTTACCACCTCAAAACAAGATACTCCTATGAATAAAGTCACAGTAGCTTCTATCCTCTGGGTAACAATTTTAAATGGTAGAAGATCTAACAAAGCTGTAGGATAACGCAAACAATATCATTCTCAAGTGACTATGCTACTTAGCCTTTTTACAGACTAACTCATGTTCTGCCTCTTTTCTTTTAAACTACTCTTCACTTTCTGACTCATTAGAAACAAATGCAGAGCCTATAAAGATTTAGGTTTTCTGCACCTCTGACATTACTTGCTGTACACCTAAAAAATTATTCCCACTTATTACTATTTACAGTTTCAGCACTGCTGTCTTTGGTATCTTTATAACAGAACAGGAAATATAATATTGATCACCCCAGTGGATGCTATTTTCTTACACTATGAGATCAGAGGCATTAATTCATTATGATGAGTAGGAAACATAAGCAGTTGGTGTGCACTGGCCACTTTCTCAACTGAGCCACCCTCCCAGAATAAAAACTTCAGCTCTATTTTTCATCAGCTGCCCACCAGCTATACTTTTGTGGGTTTCTTCACTTACATTTGAACACGGCATACGTTACAGTGGCATAATAAAAGTAGAAGATTAATTCTCATAGTTCAAACCTGCAAGTCCTCCACATCAGATCCCTGCAGACTTCAGAATGCGAATACACAGAGAAAAAACAGCAAACACTGGGGAAGGGAGTACTATTTGCGAAAACACTGCATATAACCTTAATGTGAAAGGGAGAATCCTCTCAAATTTCTGCTGAAAAAATAAAAGGCTAAAAACTGAAGCTTATCATACAGCTGAGCATTCAGTGACAAGTATTCAGAGTAATTTTGCAGCAATGTAAAAGCAGTTTTCTATTTACAATCCTTATGTAAGGACTACTATCAACTAACCATTTATTTGCACGCCGCAGTCATACAATCCCTTCTCTTTAAAGTCTTGAGCAACAGAATCTTGCTGCTTTAAATATTCTGTGAAAACAGCATATTTCCTTATTGATATTCTTTCTAAACTGACTCTATACAATCTAAAGTACTGTATTGCTGTATCCATTCAAACCCAGATGAAAACCTTTACATAATGTGTAATTAGTTCATATATTAATCTCACAAATTGTCTCTGACCATTACTTATTCACTTGTTGCCAGCCTCCATTATGTTCTTATTTTGGTGAACGAGAAAACTGAAAGATCGAAACATGTCTGGGTGCCTCATTTCTAAAAGAGCACAGGACCTACATACACTTAATTATCCCAATGTCTGGTGTTAGTGTAGGAAGCGCTTATAGTTGAATAACCACAGGAAATTCTTCTGTAACACACACCAGTAAAAACAATACAGAATTTTTAGTGTTCTGTTTGAAGATGTATGTGATTACAAAAAGAAATGTAAATCACCAAGACTAAGCTCTGCAAAAGTACCTGAGGGATGCAACTGTCTGGCTTGCATTTGTTTTAATGGAGAACATACATTGCTCCAGGACACCTTCAAACAATCCAGTCTACTCAAAATTCATCACAGTGTTAAATTACATCTGCACTCAATAGGCTGTCAGCAGCAGCAACTAGCCATTACATGAAAGGCAGAAACTTTAAGGACTAACTTCAATAACTGCCAGTTATTTAAGCAGTTGATGCCTAACTACCTAATCATTGACTTGACTGCAACTAATTTGGAAGCTCTTGTGTATTTCAGTAGTGAATGGCTTGGGAGAAATCCTGATTGAACACAGCTGGCAAGCCTCATACCATTCTGGGTGAAGTGCCTCTTACCAATTTCATCCAGCAGTTCTTGGGCTGGTGGAGGCAGCTCATCAATGAAGTGGTTTGATTCCTGTGAGAGTGCTGAGATAGAAAAAAGTCTAGTTAGTGATTAATCCTAATTAGCAGTGATTAATCCTTAATAACAGCAATACAGGCGTATATTATGACAGCATCTTGCTGGCATATTTAATTTATCAACCTGCATGAGCCTGGCTCATTCACATTTTATCAAATATCGTCCAATAATTTCATAATGGAAAAATCATTTAGACCTAGACTTCCACATTCAGTTCTCCATCCTGTATTGCAGATTTTAGGCCAGTAATATTTACACTTCAGAAGCAGGTTGATTAAAGTTCAGAGTTCATAGTCTGTAGGTGCAAACACAAAATCCATAACCTAATTACCTGTAGAAATACACAGCTTTGTGCAAAGCTATTTATCCCTATAAAAAGAGATGCAGAGTTGGGGAGTAACCCTGCAAAATTTCTTTTCATATCTGTTTCTCCAGCTATTGATAATTTTGTTTGGGCTGGGAGCAGGTTAAGAGACTTACCAGATGCCTTCCTAGCGCTTCTCAAGGTTGAAGCAACTGGCACCACATCCTGTGTTAGATCATACAGAATGAAACAGAAGAAGGTAAACTGAGGAACTGCTGGTCTTCAATAGTCCCCTTCAACATATTAAATCCAAAATGAGTTTAAGACCTTAATTAAAGCCTTAGCTGACCACTAAATTGTAAAATAACCCCTTCAATCAGTTCAGAATACAGAGACAAAGGTAGCATTCAGCTAAGCCAGCTGTGTCAAAAATTTTGCTTAGACTACTGTGCACTCATCTTGTATTTGTAACCATAGGCAAGTGCTCACTATCCTCAAAATGGAAACAAGCACTTCATGCACTGAATCCTAGAATAAGTTAGGCAAGAAAGTGACACAATCAAGTGTCACTTGACTCTGCAGAGCCAGTCAAGGCAGCACTGCACTGTCAATGGGCTTAAGGAACTCGAACTGTCTGCTGCAAGAAGAAAGACACAGACCTAACCTGATGACAACAAACACAGCTGCTACTGTTCTGGTTGACCAAACTCTTAATTTAATTTTTAAATGACAATCCTATCAACAAAAAACAGTAAGAAAGGCATAAAGGCAACTCCTTGTATATAACTGTCTGAAAAGACAGTGAAGATAATGCTGTGGCTCCAGAACACCTTTATTTCCAAAAAGATTACTGGAAATCACTACAGTAACCTTGGAAATTGTCAACTCCAAAGAGAGAGGATTTTTTGATACAACAAAGTTGATAACGATATGTCACAGCTGTGCATAAAACGGACAAACTTAATCCCCTAATACAAGGGCTTTCTGAACATTTACTGCTTCCACCTTAGTTTTCTTCTTCAAGGAATCACTAATTTACATACTCATTTACCTTCTCCCACTAATTTTTGAGAGTTCTTCAGTTTCACATGAAAACTTACCCACTTGAACACTCACGCACATGTATTTATTTTCACTCAAGTCTATTTCCCACCTCCACTTAAGTCAAAAGTCCACAGTTCATTCACAAAGCAGTTGTGAATTCAGATAAGCAGCTGGTAAGTGCTGTTGCCTCACCAGAAAACCAACTGATAAACCCTGCCTCTCCCAGCAAACACATACCTTTTCTACCCAACCATTTTGCAGATAGTTATCACTTTGGTGTGACAAGATTACTGGATCCAGTGCTAGGAAATGGCAATTCCTTATTAGGGAAGGGATGGAGGACAGGCAACACCACTTTGATGGTGGGCAACATTTAAATACGATTAGATGCAAGGGGAAGCCAGCTCTTTGTGTAATCAGTGGCACACACCAAGTGCTTTGAAATCAATCAGAACTTTTCCTATGTCAACAGACCCAGGATTCCAAAATACAAAGACCTAGAAGTATTTCTGTGCTTCTCATCTTGAATTTATTTTAAGGAAAAGTATTTAAAAAAAACATTTTAAATTATGGCTGGCATAGGGTACAACTTATAGACCTACTGGCTCATTCAGTTGAGCTGAGCAAACTCCTGAAGCAACTGAGGGAATTTCAGTGCTCTTTTCCTCTTCGTAGGCTGTAATGAACATCCTGGATGCTGCAGAGGAGATCTCGTGAGAACCGCAAAAGGAGGAATCTGAAGCTACTTCATGGCGGTGTTTGCGTTTCTCAAAGGCTATGAGATTTTTTTTTTCTAGAATAATAAAAAAAATATTATAGCAAAGCTGGAAAATTATTTTTGGACTTTTTCCATCTTGGTCACATGCCAACAGAAGCAGAGAAAGGTTTCTTGTACTTGAACAGACACCTGCATAGGAAACTAAGAAATAAAATTGTCCATAAGTATTTCTGAACAGAAGTCCAAACTTATCACCTAGGAGTTCCACCTCAGGTATTATTTATGCAAAGTTTCCAACTGAGAAATTTTGACTACTGTATTACACCAAAGTAATGAAAGTATAAAGTAAATGATAATTCATTGTTCTTAAACAAGTTCAACAAACATTGAGATCACTTTTTCAACTCTCAAAACATACTAAATGCTTAATACGTCGTCTTTGAAGTGCTAAAATCTACGTGTATCACTCCAAATCAATTTTAAATTTCTAAAAAAATTTCTGATTAATGAAAACTACCACTAACTATTAAGTAACTCTCTTTTAGAGACCTTTCAGACAGGGGCTTTTTCAGCTGCATACCTGTAATTTCTCTTCAGTACAGGTACTAAAGGAGAACTTAGGTACAACAGGTACAGCATTTCTTGTGACTACTTATTCCAAGCCTGACATTTCCACATTAGTACTACGTGGAGTTTCCATAATTCACACCAATGATTTCTACACTAGCAAGTCTTGCCAGAAAGGTTTGCCTCCTGGCATGGAAAGGTTAATTCATTCACAGATTCTTCCTCCTTTCCTCTCTGCAGTTACCTGTGCTGAGCGGAGTGCTGACGTTTATTGGTGCATGGCTCACCCTGGGTGTTTTACAATCTGTATCCCTGCTGTTCTCTTGCTCGTAGAGGATACACGACAAATCCTGAATGTCCGTCACTGACCTGAAGTATTGAAAGATGTTCTCACAGTTAGAATAGCCACTTTTTACACTTGCGAATCACTGAATTCTGCTATTCTCAAGTTTCTTTAAATTTTAGCTTTGTTCAGTCTTATCTAGTTTTCCAGAAGGAGAAATATTCCCCTTGAAAACTTTCCATAGAATTCTTGGAAGGCTGAAGATCACCATCTTCAATGATCTTGCAGGTTCAATAAAAGGTTAATTATTTGCTTTCCCTTTCTCTACAGGATTCCTTCATTTTAATAATTCTCCTATAAAAGCAAACTCAGGAAACTGCCTCCAGAGAAGGCAAGAGCTTCAAATGTGAACCACTAGGTAGAAAATTCTCTCCGAACTCAAGGTTTAACAACAATTAATGATCCATTAATTAAGACTAAATGTTGGTCTTACGAGCCTTTAAAAGAATTACTCAAATAAACTGAAAGCTCTAAAGATGTGCACAGGCAGTGATGTCTGCTCAAGTAACAAGAATTCTTAAGCGACTGCAGCACTGGGACAATATTAAGCAAACCAACATCTTCTGCAGACACACCCTGGATTGCAGTGTTCTCAGACAACCATGAAATGAACAGACAGCTGCTGTTACCAAATCAGTAATTTCTACACAAGTCTCCACTATCTGTAAAAAGTTCAGACACAAACTTATTCTGCAAATTTTTCCTGAGAATCTTGACCATAAGACTATTTTTGTAATAAAATTTATTCAGCTACATGTAATGATTTGCTCTTTAAAATAATTTTATTTCTTCTGCGTAATACAGACAGAAGAATCAAGGAATCCTAACACTTAAATGTGATGAAGCACACACAAATTACACCAGTTACTTACAGAATATGGAAGTATTTCAAACTAAGGACAAGTGTGCGTGATAGCTCTTTTACACCAATCTCCCAACTTATCACAAGAAATATTCTTTCAATATTTCACACAGTTTTTTCTCTCTCTCAGCTTTGGTCTGCCACATCTTCCCATCTTGTATCAACACAAAACTTTTTACAATGCTAATGACCAACTTGCTGAGTTTTGGCATAAAATGGTCTGTGGCTCTTACACATCTTTTTCTTTGCATTCTTCCTGTGACTCCTGCAGTATCATTCCTTGTGCTGCTTCAACACTGAAATGAGAGAAGAAAGGTCATATTCATTGATCCTCTCACAGAATTATGAAAATAAATGTATTCAGTTTCCTCTCTCTCAATAAGTCTAAAGGACTACCTTTTCTCTGAGGCACACTAGAGTTCATCCAAGAACTTTCTGTTTAAAACCTTAGAAGATGGAGAGTGCTAGGAGCAAAATGCCATTTTAAGCACATCATGGGTTTGTATCCAGTAAGGAAAAAAACTTCTAATTCACATATGCAGCTTCAAAACAAAGTTAAACAAAAATTTATTAATATACGTCACTACGTTATCATCCTCTGATTGGTCTGCATTGTACACTATCCTCTCAAACTCTAACAACCCCATTCAAGGTCCAAGAGGCATTCAAAGGGCGTTAAGTCAGATGGTCAGAGGGGAACAGTCCTTTGTCCTGCTGGTAAAAAGCTCAAAGCCCAGGTGGAGGGAGCAATCAAAACCACTACCTTTTACCTTGAGGCCAAGTATTTACATGCTTGCTGCCTACCTTTGACACTGGTAACTCAGTTCCTCCAGCAGAGGAGGGAGTAAAATACTGACAGACAGTAAAAGCAGCTCTCACTCCTACACCTGGGGAAACTGAACAGCTGCTAACTGTGGAGGAACACAAGGGAAGCCAAGCTACAGGGAGCCTACGGGCTTTTAAGAAGCCTGAAAGCCACACTGGAAGACTTTCAGACAGATTCTCTTTAAGCAAAAGTATCCCTTGTAGCATGAGGTGGCGATTCTGGCCAACATCTCTGCAAATTAGTAGAATATAAAATTTACAGAAACACCGGATATAAACACCTCATGTTTGACAGATGAGACTGCAAGTTTCCAAGCATGGGCTAATGTTATCTGCAGGCAAGACACAGTGAGCATCCTTGCATCAGACTGATCTTCATGCCACTTGAGCTCCAAATCCAAAGCACAACAAAATTAAAATAGATGGCTGCAGCCTTAATTTGAATTATCTTTGCTCTGTTTAAGACTGTAGCTTATCAGTGTAAAAGGGACTGTAATCTATACATGAATTATTTTTCCTATTTTAGCTCCCTCATTAAGCAAAAAACCCAAAAAAACCCCTGAACACCATAAAAGGCAAAACTCCATGAGACTTGTGGAAGTCCTTTTAGTATTGACAAGAAACTATGACATACAGACATTCATTAAAAAACACCACTGGCATCTTACTTGAATATTGGATATCTGAGCAAAATTAGTAGAGAGAACACACTTCATAACCTAATTTATGCTTGAAGTAATAATGAAAATAAGTCTATCTACCTGGCTATAGGCATATGGTTAAGTTGATTCACTCCTAGCATGTCACTGGCAGAGTTGTGCGCTGCTGTGCTGCAGAACAGTATTCTTCCTCCTGAATACAAATAACAAATGCTCCCAGATATTGGGTTTTGCAAGTACAAAAGAAAGTGACACAACTCATTGAACAGGAAATTGCAACTTTATTACATTTTTCAGTTCTTGTGACCTTTGTTGTTGTCAAGAGACAAATGTGTTTTAAAAATGCATTTTCATAAACATACCACAGCTGCCAGACAGCCAAGCCACTGAAGCACTGGGGAATATCACAACATTTATAAATTTGAGCTAAGAGAGGCAACAGACTAGAGAAACAACGATCCGTCCATTATTCTGCACACATACGATGTCAGCTCTTACAGTTTTTAAGCTCAGGATCCTTCTAGCGTAAGAGTATTAATGTGTGAATATAACTCTAATTCAGTTTCCAGCACCATAGCAAGTAGCATAAAAAGATTAAACTTAGCCCTACAGTAAAAACAAAAAGGTTGCAAACAAGTTTTGGTTTGTTTTTTAACTGACACACAGCAAGTACATAATCACCACACTCAACAATATTTGAGTGAGTGCAATGTCTAAACATCATCTTCCGAAATCCTGACTGTCCTGAACTCTCATTAAAATAATGAGGAATAAGAGAACAAGTGACCCTGAAGAATCAAGCTCCAGCCTTCTGACAGGAGCGCTGCTGACAAAAAAGCGCGTGCAACAAGAATCCATCTCCCCGAGTCAAAACTACCTTCAAAAGAAAGAGCACATTTACCTGAAACCTGAATATCTGATCCTGTACCTTCAAGTAACTGTTCCTGTAAAAATCCTTCACAAGCATCTTCTACTTTGCCCTCAGCATCTGAGGCCTGAGGCTGGGGGGGAAAGGAAGTTAATTCAACTTCTCACAAACAAGGTACGAAAGGTAGGACAATTCTCACAGGATCATGTTCACAGTCATCAGAACGGAGTGCCAAATTTTTCAAGAGCTTATGAGCAAAATGCATGGACTGGATGTAATAGTCCATACAACAGTTCTGAATCTTGAAGAAATGAATGAAGATTTTTTAAGACCACTGAGTACTATAATAGATAGAGCTGTGAAGAAAGGACGAGATTATTTTCCTCAGGCACAGACCATGTAGTAAACAAATTAAGACGACAAGCCCCTGATGTTTTGGGAGTCTGGGTGTTTGTGGGGTTTTAGCTGTTGGGTTTTGGTTTTCATGTTTTGTGGTTTTTTCCCTTCAGGTGGGGAGATGTGTTTTAAAGAAACAGGATTAGAACTTTCTTGCTTTAGATAAATCTTTATTTGTAGATTTATTTCAAAAGGAAACAGTAAAAACTGTTATTCCCTCATTTTCTACAGCTCTTCATCAAATCAAGTGGGAGCACAATAAAACCACATTAACTTACATACAAAGTTCTTGACACAGGCTTCATTCCTGTCTCTTCTGTTATTCTTCCCTCTAGTTCTGTGCTTTCCTGAGTAGTAGGAGGAAGTAAATAATCAGCATCAGAAGTCAAGAATTCTTCAGACACATCAGGAGATGAACGATGTAACTCCCTTGAATGCCCCTGCAAAAGACATCATCATCTGAGGTGCTGTCTCTGCTCTCTATTAAAGAAGATATATTTTAGTCAGTAACATTAAACAATACTGCATCAAATTGGAAATATATTTCATTTGATCACTCTGAATTCCAGCCTTCCTCTTGCTCCTTACACTGTCTTGACGGCTCATAGAACCAAATAAAAAAAAAGGGTGAAAGCAGGGGGGACTGATAGTCAGATCACAAGTGAAAAAGACTGGCTGTCTTGGTAGTTCAGTGTGCAACATGGAGAGACCTGCCTGAACTGTTTTACAGACAACTACCTGCACATGGATTTCTTGGGTTACTACACATACTCTAGAGAGATTCTCAACTTGTCGAGGAAGGACTGTTATTCCAGACTCCGCTTGTTCATCTTGTGATGGTGACTGGCAACTTCTCCCTAGGATGTCAGAATGGAACAAAATTATTAGGCAAAAAAAAAATATCAAGAGAGTGATCTGAACCACTGATGGAATATCTACTAGAATAGACAGTAAAACTACATTGTCAGGAACATGGAGAAATGATGACATTTAAATGCTTACATCATTCATCTAGGCATGCAAAGTTTTCCTTGTTCGTTTATCTGTAACTATTACAAAAGCACTATCCACTATTCTGCTAGAGAAAAGGCATCTCTCTAGTCCAGCTGAAATAAATACAGTGTGAAAGCATACTCATGGATTTGAAATCTTTGAGTTTCCTATGCTGATACAGGGTAATCAATGATGATAAAGGGTCTCCAAGCTCACTGGATGTTACCTCCACCTATTAACATGTAATATGCAGTCTATTATTTATGTTCATCAATAACTGAGTGACTGACCTGCTTTGGGGGCAAGGCTCTGGAAGTTAAAACCAACAATTATTGTAACAAAATCACGGAAGCTGGGAGATGGAAGGAGACAAAAAGAGATGAAGCTATTTTTTGTTTTTCAGCCTTACCTCCAGAACTTCTGAATGCAGACTCCAGATCACTCTCTTCGGATTCAGATCTATCCTCACTGCCCAGATTCCAAGGCTCAGCATTATCATCTGTCTGCCACCTGTATCTTTGCTGGTCTTGGCTCTTTTGGCCTTTAACAGAGACACGTTCAAAGGCCTCCTTCATACTCTCTTCACTTTCAGATGTACATTCACCAGCTGGATACTGAGAGCTAAGTTCTAGTTGTCCTGAGGCCACTCTTCTGGCCATTTGCTTTACTTCAGCTACACAAAAAGAACTCAATTACCAGTACACATAACAGAATCTGGACCTTCAATGCATTCCCTGTTTCACTGTGTCTGCAGACTTAGAAAAGCTAAAGTTATGGCCTGCAAACTCCTTTATCATGAAAAGAGCTAAACACTTTTTTCTATTTTAAGGAAAGCTTAAAACCTGCGTAAATTGATTTGGACGAGCCTTTACAAAAACAGTTTTTGTTAGTTTGTGTTTCCTATTATTCATGCCTGTAGTGCCATCCACTGGTCGTTGCTATACCACCCTTTCTAAATTCCTATGCTGTCCCCCCCTTCCATTCTCCAAAAGAGGGCTAGAAATTCTCTGAGCTTTATAACCAAACCATTTTAATGTGGCTGTGATTATTCCATGCCCCGAATGTGCAAGACATGGGATCCTACTCATTTGGTTTTCATCCAAGAACAGCCTAACAGAGCTTCAGCAATTAAGGCACACAGATCTTTCTGAAGTAACAAAACGCGTTAAGTTTAAATGCACTGCAGTAAAACTTCCTAAGATTAATGCCAAATTAACACCGATTTACTTACTCCTCCATTCTGACTGCATCATCTTTCTCTGGCTTATTTTTGTACTGTAACTTTCAGATCCTGGTTTTGGATAGCACCTATAATAGATTATTATAAGATGCATCAAACTCTGTTAATGCACAAGCTTACTGTGTTAAGTATTCCCCAGTCAGTAAAAGGCTGGAAGTTGTTTTAACATTAATTAAAAGGCTGAGAGAACACACGCTCTAAGGACCCAACAGAACTAGCAGATGGAGCCTTCAGAAGCTTAGGAAGCACAGACAGATATTTAGGTCTATTACAGATTAACCAGACAAGCTGCACATTAAAATCTAGATTTCAAAAGCTGTCAACTGTCTTCAGATGATACACCTATATAAACACTAACAGACAATGAATGCTATGTAGATTTGTTTTACTTAGGTCAGTGAGGTGATCAGTGGACAACTGAAGATATTTAGAACTCCAGACCTGGATAACAACGACGCTATCACCAACTAAATTCCAATACAGAGTCATTCACATGATCATCTAACCACACATCAGCATCTGGCACATTTATGTCCTGACCAAGCACGTCCTTTACCAGCAGGTCTTACTGATCCAACTGGCTCACGAATCAACTTAAATAGCGGAACAGTTTTCCCAATTGATTTGACCTGAAGATCGAAGGAGGTGCCTGTCCCCATCTTTCCAACTGACACATTAATTTGCACAAGTTTGGCCAGGTACTTTTAATACATATTTTCACCCAAAATTAGAAATATAAAGGGACAACATTAAAAAGCACAGCAAACAATGAAGGAACATATGCTCTGCTGTCACCAGGTTCAGCAAGACTGTTCCGCTCCCTCAGCCCCTACCATAGGTCCTAGTTCTACACCTATGAAAGCCAAAGTCTTTCTACTGAGAACTGAATGAGGCTGTGCACAGAGAAGAGAACCACGGTTACCAGTAACTTACTAGATTGCTCTCCTCAGGCACTGTTACAGTTTTGGACCGCTCACCTCCATTGGAGAGGCATTTGGAGTCCATTTGAGCACAACTCCAAAAGTAACTGCCCTGTCCCAGCAGATACCCTGTGAGCTCTGCAGCCGACAGTGACTCACAGTGGGGTCTTAGTTAGACAGATGGCTTCTGGCTTACTGAAAAAATTTAATACCATCCCTGATCCTGGATATGTCTACTTTGGACAGTGGATGTATCAACTCTGCATTAACTCTTTTTGTAAATAAGATCAAAACTCACCACCTCTCTCCTTCACTTCTACTTGCTGCAGAATGTGAATCACCTCCTCTCTGACACTGCAAGTTGAACTTTTTTTTGCATCTTACAGACACACGTGGGAGTAAACGCTGAAACGAGTCCAACAAGCCATGATTCAGCACATGCCGGGCATTCTGGTAATTACTAGTTGAGCTGTCTATGAGATACACTAAGAATCAGACTGTGCAAACGTTATTCCCTAGGTCATATTTCAGTAGCACTGCTCATGAGATGTACACAGGCAGGCTATCGTAACACGTAGCTCCCAGGGGAATGAGTGGACCTAAACCATTCTGTGATTCTATGACTCAAGATTATTCCCACAACAGATACACACATGAATGTCTCTCTTTGGGCTAAGCATGTCAACAATTTCTATTTAATAATGAAAATAATCTAGAAGCCTTTACTAATGACAGCTTAGAGCTCCACAATTACATGCACAAACAAAAATCTTTCTCCATTTGCCCTTTTCCCTGACAGTCCCCTTTGTTTTAGTACATGATTTTATTCCCTCCTGAGCTACTGGACGAGTATTTTGCTGGGGGGGCTGGGAGAGGAGGGGAGAGAGAAGAAATAGTACTATTGCACTGCTAAGCTGACTATTTTCATTCCTATATATAATGCATACGGTATGCACATAAATCTTAAAAGACAGATTCATCTCTCCTCTTGGACACCATCCATGATTATGTCTCTTTATCTGCTAAAGAATACAGAAGTGATAAATACAGCCACCCTGCTCAATGTTTTACCTCACGGTCTAGGCTCATTTGAACATCTGGGCTTTTCTCCACACTGAAGGTGAGATCATGATGCTGGTTTTTGTATTTCCTCTTACTCTTCTCATGAAAGTACTTCCACCTTTCATTTCCAGTCACTTCCATTTCCTTTGCTGTCTTTGAAACAGCTTGGAAACTTTCTCCACCCGATGCTCCTTGAGTCTGACACACCATCACTGGTGGAATGTAGTCACTTGATGGTGGACCTACAGCCTTCCATAAAAAAGCATTAACTCCAGAAAAAGGGTTATTTGTATTTTGAGAAGTATCATCAGACCTGTTCCAGGGTCCTTCTTGAAAACACTGTTTAGAAGGCTGACTCATTCTGATTTCCTGGAGTAGCTTCTTTTGCTTTTCAGTGGCCTGTAATTTGTCCAGTTTCTCCTCTGTTCTGCACAGGGAATCTGCTGCCTGCTGCAACATACTTTGAGTAATCTTTAAATTAAGGACACACCTGCTGATGTGCTGCTCATTTTGCGACACACTACTCACTCTTTTCCCAGCATCTCCTCTCACCTGTGCCATCGTGCACACGTCCGAGGCCTCACTTATCCTCTCCTCCTCTTCTGTAGTGTACTCTGTATCCCATTCTGAAAAGTCACCTTCCTCATAAGCTGACTTTTTCTCACAGTGCACTCCAGGGGATGCACACAGGTCTCTGGAGGGAACCTTATCTTCTTCCTTTTGCTGCTTTTTTTCACCCTTTAGAATTTGACCTAATTCAGCTTCTTCCTCCAGGAAATCTTTGAGATGTTCTGGAAAAGTAGCAAAGATTTCATTGATTTCAAAGCTATGGAGGCTGTCATTATCCATGTCACTGACACTGGAGGTTGCCTGGATTTCAGCAGCTTCATCACAACCTTTGTCCTGTGTAACTGGCTGTAGATTGGCTGAAGTCTCACGGTCCATTAAAGCACTGCTCTTCTCAGGAAAAAGAGAGTATCTTGGGGCAGCAGAGCCATCTGAAAAATTGGATGTTAAGCATTAAGCTGCTTCTCCAGATGTCCAAACCCACTGCTCTGGTATATCTAAGAGTTAACATCTTTTAGAGATTACACGAGCAGCATTTAACAACTCTGCTGAAAACAATGTGCCTGAACTCCAAGTGTCTGTCAGACATATAGTCTTGAGTTCACATTAACAATTACGGTGACAGCTAGAATCCAAAGCTAACTGCTTTCTATTCTCAAACCATGTAATAAAATTTGTAAATGTTCACATTTTATATCTTTATATTAGACCATTATGGACTGAGGAATATAGTAAGTGAAGGACACTGGACATCCTGCTAGGAGAAACTCACCAGTCTCAGTTATCTCTCCTCCCTGCAATTCCTGTGTATTCTTCTGGTACCTAAAAGCTGATGCCAAACAGATGTTCACATCTCCAAACACAGTGGACCTTTGTGCTTTTGACATTTCATCAGCATGACCAATCTGAGACTTAAATAAGTCCTGTAATACGAAAAATGGTATAAAGGCAACTGTATTTGACAGTTCAACGTCAACCTTCTCTTTTAAAGTGACTTGCCTCCGCGATCAGAAAATTATACTCAATGTTTAGACTGCGCAAAAAAAGAGCCTCCCACCTAGACTTAAGCAGAACAATCTGAATCTGAATGGACACAAAACTCTGTTGTTTTAAATACATGAAAGGCTACATCCCTGGAAGTCACCTTTAAGTCATTTTTCAGTATATACTGAATATGCTGAAGTTCAATGGAGCGGTTCCTCTGTTTAGGTTCTAGCCCTGACTTTACGATATCGTAATAGGGCACAGGAAGTCTGACATCTGCTTCTAACCGTTGTCCTGAAACTATGAGCTGTTTAACAACTGAGCCTTCGAGACCTTTCCAGGGAGGGGTCTCTGTAAGACATAAATATAGACTTCATGTCACAAGCTGTGTATCAATGGTAATGAAAATAAAGAAAAAAAAAAGAATCCAAGATATCGAAGCATTATTGTCTGCACATTTCCTAACTTATAACTACTGTCACAAACCAAACGAGCACTCAATCCAGTCTGGCATCTCCTCCCTATCTTATTTCAACTGTGGATGCTTTAAAGAGAGCTGACAGCGATCTCCAGAGGACAGCTACACCGTAACTCATGCTCTGGACTCTTCATTACCAACTAGCTAACAGAAAGTTTGATTTTTAGGATAATTGACTATTTTGACAGTGAAATGGGATAAAGTCAACACAAAACATATGTTACATTATCTGTAATAACAATATATTATTATCTGTAAGTTATCTTAGTGACCAAAAAGATGAAAGCTGCACAGGCTCGTTTCACATATTGCAAAGAGTTAAGTGAATGTTCTGCTGTCCTTGTGTGAAGCAGAAAGATAAACAGCAGAAAAACATAATACACAAAACTATCTCAAAAACCAGCCATTAATCTCACCCTTTAGTTACACAACTCTGCATTTTCTGATTACATTTTACAAAAGTTTCCAGCAGTTTTACTCTTGTCATTAACATTTTGGTGTTCTGCCTAGAGGGTTTGTTTTCCAAGTTAACTCTGTGTGAGCCCTCACAGCGAGGTTTTATCCAGTCATACAGGAATTAAACAGACATCAGGGGGCTGACAGTCTGCACTGAAAACATGCAGTGGCATACCCTAGTGACTACAGCCTAAACCTATAGATTTACCTGTCAAGGCTTCCTGCACTACTGTACAGAAGCTATAAATGTCTGATTTGACTGTGACAACTTTTTCGAGGATTACTTCAGGAGAGCACCATTTATACAGCTGGACTGGGACAGGAATGCGTGTCAGATCGCTGTGTTCTCCACCATCTTTGCTACATGAAAGGGAAAAAGTCGTAAATCGGAAATACAGAACACTCAACTAGAAGGTATATCTTCTGGAATTAAGCACCTGAGTTTGTTATATCTGCATTTAGTTTAAATATTTAAGAGGTCCAGAGTAGACTCGCAAATAAAAACATGCAATATTTTCACAATGCACTACAGTAAAGGAGTAAAAAATGTGTACAAGTAGTAATTTACCCAGATGAAATGAACAGTGCCTCTCATAAATATTCTTTTTATCACTGGTGGCACTTAATGACTACCAGTTCAACGAGGTGCTGAATATTCAACCATTTTAGGTAAACCTCCTTAAGTACAAGTCCAGTATAACAAGAGGCAACTTAAATTTTCCAGCAGCAGAATTATTGACTCAAAGAGGAATTTAATCTCTCTTCTGCAAAATTAGGTTCTATTTCTGTATGATGTCATTTTTATACTCCAGTAAAGTGCTGCTTCTCTTACTAGTTTCTATTTTCAGATACTTACAATACAGAAACTAAGTCCACCTGAAACTTGTCGCACTGCCTGTGGCAGCGTTAATGCACCTGAGAAGTAATAATCAGAGTGCTTTACTCTGGCAATTCTGTTCCCTGGCTCAGAGTCAGTTCCTAGTCATCAAGGGGGGCACTCCAGCCAGTAATAATCAGAGTGCTTTACTCTGGTAATTCTGTTCCCTGGCTCAGAGGCAGTTCCTAGTCATCAAGGGGGGCACTCCAGCAGAATTCAGCACTAAACTTGACTTTACTTGTGTTTGTCCCGTTCACAGAAACAGTGAAGTTCTTTACCTCTCTATCATGTATTCCAAGTTGCAGAGCTTTGCCTCACCCGAGGAAACAATTTGAATAGCATAGGAGGTAACTGAGCGGTGGATAAACCCTTGTGAGTGTAGAAAACGCAGAGCATCATTTATTTGAAGCAGCACATGCAAAATTGTCTCCATGGACAGTACTGGGAATTCTGTACGCTAGAAAAAAACCCAGAAGTACCAAAAGCTTGATGTAGTGAAAAGCTAATGTTGTACAGAGGCAGCAAAGAAAGCAAACATGAGAGAGACTGCAGCAAAAGCCAAACAAATTGCAGTTGCTAAATAATGTTCATTCTCAATACCAAACCAACTAATACCTTAAAGAGCAATTAAGGGGAAAAAAAAAAGATACTGACTATGCTAAAATTAACTCTGAAGCAGCATCAGCTCTTTCATTTGACTACAACTTTTCTAATAACTTAGATGTCTGCATTCAAACAGTTAAAGGAAAAAGCACTAAACTGCGAAAAGGGAAGAGAAAAACACTGAATGACAAAAATAAAATACAGGTTAGCTGACGAAGGAAAAAAGCCCAACTGAGTTCAAGCCTTCACTTTTATACAAAGGCAGTCTGCAATGTACTACATGCAAATATTCAAGGGCATTCTCACATTTGCGGTATGCAACCACACACAGAAGATTAACAATTCAATTGAATTTAACAGCTGCCATTTTAACACTGACACCAAGCAAGAAAATCAATGAAACCGCACCTAAACATTAACTGAAGTATTTGCCAATTACAAACTTTACCAGCTTACACTGACTATCCGATACTGTGCAATGAAACAGAAACCTGCACTTACAGACTAATCATTTTTTCTTATTATTCTTTGAGTAAAGATAGTAGATGCAGTTACTAAACTTCCTCCTCTCAATTAATTACTATTTAAAAAACAAGTACTCCAATTACCCTTTCATGAAGGATGCTGTACAAAGAACCAAAGTTAACCCTTTCATATACTAAACGAGATTTCTTCAAGTCACTGGACAGACAAACAGACATCAGCTGTAGCAAATGAGGATGACGGAGTTTACTGCAAAGGGAGAAGACAAAAAAAATTGTAAGGCAAATCTGAGAGCAAAAGAGAAAAGAGTCCTGGCCTTCTAGGTGTTTTTGTCAATACAACATGAATGCTTTTCATTAAAATGCCCAAAATTCAAAGAGAACTGCAAATTAGGAGGCATTTAGGAAACAGTGCTTACCACCACAACTAGGAAAATGTATAAATAAGCCATCCAAGAAATATGCAATGAAGCATTCACCCAGAGATACAAGAAGAGTCTCGTGTTCTGCTGTATTATCCACTAGGAGCAAATAGAGTGGGAAGAGACATAAAAGACACACCTGTACTTCTCATATGGAGAGAAAGTGCAACCACAGTCTGACAGTCCTCCCGAGGTTAATCACATTTCCTCACATCACTGGAGACACCCAAACCCCAGGAGCACTTGTGGCACACTCTTTCTTACCTACTGTGTTCCTGCTCTGCCATGAGAAGATCAGCTAAGCGCAGTTTACAACAGTTCTGATGGGGCTCAAAGCTGAGTTCCTTCACTGTAACTCTGCTGCCTTTCCACGTTAAGCTACAAGAAGAGGAATTTCTATGACATGCTTTCTGCAGTATTTTTTTTTGAGTTACACGATTACTTACAAAGAATTTTCTAATTCTGAAATGCTCTGGTGCTGTCTCCTACCGTCAGTAACGTTACTTTAATGATCCTGACTACAGCATATACTTTTTCAAATGGACAATAGTTATCTTGTTAAAGACTGGATGTAGCAGGGCGGGTTTGCTGTCCAAAGGTGCTAACCTTCCATGACTCAAGGTAAAGAACAAGGACAGCCTAAAACAGCTTTCACTAAAGGCACTCAGCCCACTGTGGTACAAGATACAATCTTTGAGAAGATTAAATCACCAACCTATCAATTCTCTGGATGCCTCTGAGGCACAACTACTTGCTACACAATACAAAAGATTTTTAAAAAGGCTCAGTCTGCACTTGCAACCCTCACTTCACCCTAGATTTGAGCAAGTGGGTTGCAGCCACGCGTATCCAGAGGCTTGAGGTCCGAGCCAACAATGACAAGAACTAAACACAACAACGCAATCTCTGCAACCCCAGCAATGTATTTCCCATCACAAAAGGGATCAGTACTGAAACACTGCTACCAGTGAATACCCATAATTGGGTTAATATTGCTGGAAAGGGCAAGAGCAACCTACAAATACCAAAAGGATCTAAAGAAGATGTTAAGCAGTGGACTGCAGAAAACAAGTTGCAAGCAGAAAGCAGTGGATGAATACAGAATAAAAAAGGAAAACTACCCAAACAAAGCATCTGGTGCAACACCTTGCTGCTTAACAGTAACAGATAAACACTAAGAGGGGCTGAAATCCCTTTGATTCCACTCACTTGGTCATGATCATGTATGGTCCAACATGGTAAGAAAACGTTGGTTCATCATCTGCCTGAACCACATCTTTTTCCCCAGTAATAGGGAGGGATGCCAAGTACCCTAGAAGCCTGCTGCCTGCAAGATAAAACTGAAACACCACCAGGGCATAAGGGAAAGGAATATGCAACAGTTTCCAACATTTGTCACAAACTTACTAAAAACTTGAGAGCAATCACTGCAACAGGATCAGCAGTCAAAGCATCAAATGAAGCGTTAAGGTATCTATGTCAAAAGCTTAACTTTTAGTAAAGCTAAAACAGAGAAAGCAGAAACAGGAGAAGGACTCCCAAGTCCCACAGGTGACATTTAACAGGAGAGTTTCTATTGCCTCTGACAGGGCCTACAAACAGCTACTAAAGGCCTGAACAGCTGTGCTCTCCACAGGTTTTTTCCTAAAATTTCAGCAGAAATAAGAACATACTAAAATTTAAAAATAACACAGGTAGGATAATTACTGTGAAGAGTATCTGACTCTGAAAATCTCTACTAATATCATTAGAAAACCATTATCCACAGCATCTTACCTTCCCAAAACCAAAGCTGTAAATGTTCTTGCCTGCAACAGCTCCACCTTTCAGAAATGTACTCAGAGGACTGTCAACATTTCTAAGTACCAAAAACATAAGCAGTAAGAGTAACTAACTTGCCAAGGCTTTGAGTAAAATATATTTTTTAAAAAAACAGAAAAAGAGAGAGAAAAATGCACAAATTCTACAAATTCTGCAAGAGTCATGTATGTCAGATGTCACACTTGACTTGGTCCCACACAGAGTGTAATGCAGATGCCGAAATTCCAAATTATTGTGCAACTCATTAAAACCTTTTAGATACACTGTTATGATACACCTTCGTTTAAAGCAAGGTAGCCAATAAAAAAAATACATATATATGTATATATACACACAGGCATCCTACAGCACTGTTCACCCATTGTATTTCCCCTAACATGTATCTGACTTAAAAGCTCTTGAAAAGCCTGGAAACACACCCCTAAAAGATTTGCAGTGACCTTAAAAGGTCAAGAAACAAACTACTTCATGTTACTGCCACCCTAATACTATCAAAAGCCAGTATTTCATATTGTTGATTTCAAGAGTATCTCTTAATACACAGATATTTACAACTATCGGGTTTCTACTTGGAATTCTCACAACAGAAGTAAAAAGTATCATCACATTGGTTTTAAATCTGATATTGTCGAAAAGAAACAACATGTGAATTTTAAGATAACAGAATGTGGAAGTAAAAGTCCTTGTAGCTCAAATCCCTCAGTAACTGAGAATATATTCTTACCCTTGAACACGGCCACCAAACCTAGACGGACTACAGACCAGTGCTTTTGATGAGCCAGCCTTCCTGAGCAGGTCGGAGGGAAAATATTGAATGGCAGCCTGCATGTGCAGTGTACAACGCTCTATAAATTCCAGCACCTAGGGAGAAGAGGAAGAGGAAAACCAACAACAACAAATTACTTCAGAACTGTAAGATAAACCATTTTAAATTAACAGATGACTACTGAAAAAATAACTCATTACTTGCAGTATTTAAATAAGCATTTTAAGAAATGGATACACAGAAACACATCAAGGAAATCAACTACATGAAAGTGTAAGAGAAAGCTTACTTCAAACACTAAATGACGAACTTTCACGACACGCACCCACTGAAAACTGTAGTATCGGGTTTCTTTTTAAGAAGAGTATTGTAATAACAGAAAAGAGTATCAAATAAAAGTTCTAAATCAATATCACAGTCATGAATAAGCCTTCTTAATACATTTTGCTACCATGACAGCAAAAATTATGCATTTGCTTACACTGTTCATGCACAGACTAAGACACACTTGTGAACTACTTCAGGTTTACTCCCGAATTGCACATACGTGCAAACAACCTACCTACATCAGGGATCAAAACCAAGGGCCTGTCATGCTCCTCACTGCACATTTACACGTAAAGGTCCTAACAAGTTACAGATGGACACACCCTTACACCTGAGCAAAACCTTAGTTAAATAATCTGAATCATAAGGACTTCAAAATAACATTACTGACACTGAAAAGTAATGTTAATCTTTCCAATGTGTAAAAGCCAAGAATTTTCCCCTGGAATGTTGGGGTTTCTTCACTTTAAGATAAAGATGTGAGTACACACCTAGCACACACTCAATGCACACTACACACACATACCTGAGCACTCCTTTCTTTTCCAGCTAACATAGCCCAGTACAGAGGATTTCTTCCGTCTTCATCGTGGACTCTCAGATCGCCTCCTTCATCAAGTAACTTGCGAAGAACCCACTGATTTCCAGAGAAAGCAGCTGCGTGGACTGGGGTGCTTCCATCATAACAGCGACTGGGGAAAGTTAAAGCAGAAATGTTTCAAGCCCTACTACACTCAATCAGCTGCGCTTCTGGGGAAAAAAGCAGCACACCTAAAACATTTACGTACTCCCACACAACAACATAAACCATGAAAAAAGAAAAAACAGGCACGCACTTACCTCTGAGGATCTCTGGCTAAAATAGCAACATGCATCTTATGCACATCTTCATTTAGATACAGTGAATATTATGTATTACATTGAATAAAAACACTAAAAAGATTTAAAATTACTTTCTCTTTAAGAATATAAATTATTTTTATACTTAACTGATTAGGATCAGAGCCATAATCCAACAGCATATTCACTATTTTACCAAGACCTAGCAATGCAGCAATGAAGAGAGAAGTTTGGCCCATGGAATTTACAGCATCAACAAAAATACCTGCAAGAAAACAAAAGACTGTGAGGCAAGTGCTTGTTCCCCTCCACTCCACTGGCTGACGTAGGCCCTCTAAGATACTGGAAATGTGAAACTGTAATAATATTAAAAGATACTGAAAAAAGAGCAAAATACCTTCCTCGTAAGTTTGGAAACATACTGCTTGTCCACAAGGTTTTAAAATGAATGATGTATAAATATCAGAGGAAAAGTAATAATCTGAATGAGCATGGATAACACTGCAGGACTTCATTAATAACTAATTAAATCATTCTACAGTAGTAATTAAGAGACTCAAAATTATTGCTTAGTTACAGGATATTTGTGTCAATAAAATTGGCCCAGAGGGGCAAGAATCTGAAACCATGACTGGCTAGGGAATCTCCAATAATTAACTGTTCTGTTTTTCAACCAGGATAAAAAAGAAGGGCCACAAACCACTCAGCCCGTGCTCTCTCCCTCCCAAGCCCCATAA